GCATTTCAGGATAGGCCTGCAATGAGTGGCCTCACATCAGCCTTCCAGCCGGGCGGCTCGAATGCACTCCTGAGGGCAGGGGAGCACCATCTCTTATTTCCCAGGTAGAAATGCAGACCCCACATCTTAAGTGCACTAATCAGTGGGTAGTAGGGAGGAGGGAAAGCAGAGCGAGCAAAGTGGTGTTGAACAGCAGTGTTCCATAGTACTTCAGGCTCTCCATGGACATATACAAGATCTGAGTTCATCAGCCTTTAGATTTTGGCACCCCCTGTAAGCAAGACTTACATAGGGTTCAACTTTGTAGTTCCTCTATCAGCAGGGACAGCTGAAACAGTTAAATGAGAATGGTGTCCAGTTCTGGTCCCCATAACTCAGAAAAGATGCAGACAAGTTGAAGAAGGTCCAAAGGAGGGCCATGAAGATGATCAAAGAGCTGGAGAACTTGCCCTATGAGGAAAGACTGAAGGAATCAGGACTTTTCTCCCTGAAGTAGAGAAGGCTTGGAGAGGACCTCATCACAGTATTACAGTACTTAAAGGGCAGCTACAAGGAAGACAGAGTATTTCTCTTTACAAGGAGCCACACAGAGAAGACAAGAGGCAATGGGTTGCTGGCTGCACCAGGAGAGGTTTCATCTCAACGTAGAGTCCTCATCACTGGAAGTTTTCAAGATGCACATGGTGCCACATGATCTCATCTAGGCTTCTTTTCCCATGAAAGGCTGGACCAGATGAACTTTTGGAGGTCTCTTCCAACCTAGGCCATTCTATTGTTCTCTGAGTTTGATGGACAGAGATTTTCTAAGCAGGCTTTCTCTTGGAGAAAATGAGTGTGAAAAAACACCTCTCAACATATCTGGCCTTCTGTGTTTCTTGCCTTGAGGGTATTACTAAGAAGTAAAAGTGGCCTTTTCATTAATCTATTTTAATTGCTCCTGCTTAGAGAATCAGGTACTCGGGAGCACTTTATTACCAGAAAAGTCTGTTTATTTTCAAGCATCCACAATCTGAACAGTATAGACAGAAAATTTGCTTGGAATTTTCCGTAAGACAATTTAAGTAATGAAGAAAACAATAAAAGTAAAATTATGTATTTTCTGAATTCCGTATCCTGACTTTAAAGAGCTTCTCTGACTAATTGCAGTCTTCTGGACTTACGCAAATAAGTTCCATTGTGTTACAAACTGTTGCAATATGCGGTCTTATGCCTGAATACTCTTTTTCACCAGAGTACCAACAAAACAAAAAAAAGGACTTGAGAGATGGCTTTCTGTGCCAAACACCATGTTCTTTCTACCAAATCAGCTAACAACTTTCCTCTGGGATTTATATACAACTTTACTTCCAATTTGAAATCTCTTCCTTGTGTTTGTCTCCCAGCTTACGATTTATGCTAAACACCATTGTGCTTTGCAACAAGGGAGGCACCCACAGTAGATGTCCATCAGTAGAAACAGCTTCCCAGTATAGTTCTCTCTTCTTAGCTAGGAGCTCCCACTTTGAGCCTCTCATATCTCTTTCCAGGTACGTGTGTTGAAGCATTCCTCTATGGGATTATTCTGACTTATTTTCTGAAAATGTCTATATCCTATGGTTTAGTACAGTGATAGTTGTTCACTATACATTGAAAGAAAACATCTCTACATAAGCTGTCTTCTAGTTGTTTCAGTGGAAAATTAGTCATTTGGAGGAAACATCAAATCAGGAGTTGCACAGGCCTGCTGTTTCAACTCCTTCCACCTATATTATCCTGAGGATCTTCAGAGAGATACTAACTGGAGTTTACAAATCCCCAGGCTGATATTAGGATGTTGCCCGGACCCCTCGCTGACCTAGTGTAGCTGCACCTCAGAATCTTCCTATGCTGAAGCTTATTGCTGACCAAATAAAAGCAAAATTATCTCCAGTTTATTATTAGCACAAGGTCCCTTTTCTGATACTCTGCTTCCTAGCAACCTGAGTGTGTTTGTTAGTTTGCTTTTCACAAACAGTTATCATGAGTCTGTTGAAACAGAGTACTTGGTGAATTAGCAAATACCCTTGAAAAGATAACAACAGGAGCAATGGCCAAGTCCAGAAAAGGCAGAAGGCACCTTGCCACGCTAACATAATCCAGGTCCCAAGTGCCTGGACACCGGAGGGTGTCCAAGAAGGGGTATGGGAGCAGCTGCCTATGTCCTGGGGCTGGTGCCCCCCAGCCTGTCCTTTGGCTGAATACCCTTCCCTTGGGCTGGAATGAGGGGTTTTCAGAGCTGACAGCCCTGCCCTGTTCCCTGGAGCTATGTGTGTCACTGCTTCTCTTCAAAGACGAAGCAATGAATGGAGGTTTCCTTCAAAGCTCTGAACTAAGCTTGGGCAACTTCTTTCCCAGTTCCTTCATTCAGCATCACTTGCTCCACTTGCTTCGTCCCTCTGGCTCTCAGAGGACCCAGACCTGCATCTTCCAGAGATCTTTCTTAGCTGTCAAGTTATACGCTGTTTCAGAGACTGACATTTCCTCCTGCTAAAGTTACTCCATTTTAATTGTCAATGATTTAAGAGTAGTCAGGCCAGAGGGAAAGTGTGCACAGCAGTGCAAAACTGAGCAGGGGCTGAGGCACTTGCTGGGAAGAGCAACTTTCAGTCCCTTGGTCAGCTATTACTGTTTTAAATAACCATTGCAGGAACCGGAGTCCAGTTCTTTGCTCTCCCAAGTCACAGTGTTGAATTGCCAAGTTCAGGTTGTCTTTGTTTGCCCTGCCTGGCCCTGTCAATGTTTAATTATGCTGTCCAGGGCCCAACAGCTTCAACAGGAGAGAAAGAACTCATCCTTCTCCCCTCCCGAATAGCTTAGGGTCTGAGGTGTGCCTGTCCCTGAGGAACGGCACATGTGGGGCCTGAAGCTTTCTGTGCTCCAGACCAAGTTGAATCGAGGTTTCACCATGGTGGCCCTTGGTGCACAGGGTAAGAAGGCGGCTGCCCCCCGCATCCCACTAGTTTTGGTGTTCACTTTGTGCAGTGCTCTCCCTGAGCGTGCCAGTAGCATGGGGCTCCTGCTGCAGGGCACACAGCAGCGCACCGAATTCGTTCCCTGGGGAAGGACGCAGATTTGGACCCAAAACTGCCTCTTACTAAAAGGGCCTAAGGCAATACATCATATAATCTAGATATTTATAAATCCCCCAAAGTCCCAGGCTATGCTACTGGATTTTTTAAGGGATAATTTTGGCAGTATAGAAGCATGAGCCTCAGAGTAATGAAGGTTAAGTTGTGGATAACTCCTGCATGGAAGTGTTCAAGGCCAGGCTGGATGGGGCTTTGAGCAACCTGGTCTGGTGGGAGATGTCCCTGCCCATGGCAGGGGTGTTAGAACTAGATGATCTTTAAGGTGCCTTCCAACTCAAACCATCCTGTGATTCTATGTAAAAAATTACATATTCTAAAACTTTCCTAAAATAACATTTTTCCTGTACTGAGAGTGGTGTATTCCTAGGATGTGATGTAGTGAGGTGCACAGGCTCTTTTGGCACTCTTGAGGATTAGCCAACATAATTCACTTGTAGTTTTGACATCCATCTTTCCCACACTTGTGCTGAAACAACATTAATACTGTTCCAGTCTGCATTTTGTATCTTGCAGGCATGTACAAAGCTTTTACTTAAGGTTACATAATGTTGTAGTGAGTAACACCCTACAACGAGCTCTTTATAATTGTGCTTGCTCTCAGTTGAGTGGCATGATCTTTGCCTCAAGTTCAATTTTTGTTTTATTTTCAGATTACTGTATTTAAAGAAAAAATAACAATCAAAGGGTCTTTGCTATTGCCTGAAATTATTTCCTTGCTATTTTAGCAGGTGGTTTTATAAAGGTGTGTTGCCTCTGTGGTACCAGGTAAAGATTTTAGTTTTATTACAGGGATAAATATGGAGTGCCATTATGAACACTGTGTAAAACCATGAAACATTGGTCAGTTCATAAATCCTAAACAGTGATTGCTTACATAGGGGCTGATTTTGTAAGGGATTATTCGTAAAATATCTGAACCTTTCCTTAGCCCTTAATTTGCTTCCCAAGCTCACATAGGTTGAGTGTCGGAAGGGCAGGTGAGAGAAGAATTGGTGCCTGTACTCTTCTGCCCTCCATCCCCTTGGGCTTGTTGGAGAGATAATCCCCAGGGAGATCAAGGAGATCCCTCGTGGCCACCAAAAATTTGTACTTTTTACAGCCCAGCCCTGGGTCATAGCATTATAAACCTGCCTTGAAGGACAAGTGCGTTCCTTGCCCCTATTTTACAGATGGCTTAACAGATGTTGGCAAGCATCATTAGAAACAGAGCTTGGGGTTAAGCATTTGTCCGCAGCATAGCCCTAAAATACCCCTTCTTCACAGCCAGCTGGTCTTGCAGAGCAGTCTCTTCATGCCCAGAGCCTGCTCATGCTACCTGAAACTGGGGGCTCCCATCCAGGGTGGGGAGCAGGAGCTGGGACTCACGCTCCCCTTGGCCCCAGGAGCAACCACTGCTCCCGGGTACGTCTCCCAGCTCCAGCATCAGCAGCCCCCCTCCACTGCCAGGAGGGCTTGCTCAGCCTCTTCGGGTCTGCTGAGGTCTGCCACATTTTTAGGGTTTTCTTTAAACAAACAAAAATTAGAAAACTTTATATTAAAAGTTACTTGAAGAGAGTGTTTAGGGAACACCATGGGCAGTGAATAAAATGAAGTATATGAAGAGTAATGATGTTCTCCGGCTATGGTTGCAACTCAAATAAAAATTCATAGCATTCAAATGTAATGGCAGGCAGGAATAGAATAATTAATGCCTACAAGGATGACATTTGGGTTGCACAGTTCATGTTTACTCTGATATTTCCCATAGTTTTTATATTTGCATTGGCAGCCCTTCATTCTTCCAAGTTATTTTATTTTTGTCTGTGCAGTTCATATATATGAAATGCCCCCATTTTCCCTGTTTTTCCTGTTGGTTAATAGGTTGGCTCATGGTAGTGATTTGCAATGTTACAGGCAAGGGAGGATGTGATCCACATGCTGAAGACAGAGAAAACCAAACCTGAAGTTTTAGAAGCTCATTATGGATCTGCAGCTCCAGAGAATGTGCTCCGAGTGTTACACAGGGATGCCATCCTTGCCCAAGAAAAGTCTATAGGGGAAGATGTCTATGAGAAACCGATTTCAGAGGTAATATCTTCTTGATTTAAATCATTGTGTCTGTGCAGGGAGATCCTAAGCAGAAGTGAGACTCCACATATTTTGGAAGTGTGCAACGCATACAAGAGAACAACATGGCATTTGTACAAATGACAAGAAATTGAAATAAAAACTAACATCTTTGTTCACTTGACAGCAGAATAAATTGTAAGCAAAGTTGCTGGGTTTGAACACAGTCAATGAAGAGCTAGTATGCTCCTTACAGCTGGTGCTGTTAAGTGAGAAAAAAATCTTTGGGTGTTATATTTCTGTTTTTTAAAATCCTTTCAATTACAGGTTCCAACCTCTACTGCTCGCAGCGCTGCTGTAAGCACTCTTTGGTTTTCTTGGCATACTAGATCACTAGATCATGTTGGTAGTTAGGAGAAGACCTTCAGAGATTGACTTTGACCATATTTATGGGATCATAAATCTGTAATCATTTTATATCACTTAACCTCTAGGACTGCAAAGGCAATTCAGACCCTAAAGGAAACCTGTACGACTTGATCCCTTGCTTTAAATCTAAGCAATAAAGCTATGTAGAACAGACCTGGGAATGTCTTAAGGTCAAGGTGAATGCCAAAATAACCAGCCACTGCTCATGTTTATAGTTTTCTAACAGTCCAGGGCATGGAGAAAGAGCATGCAACACCGTACAATATAATATACTGTAGTGTCTGTCCAAATCTTTGTAGTTCCTCCTCTTAGAACATATAATTTTTTCACCAGGAATTGTGTCTACTATGGGATATCTTTATAATGTGTATTCTCATTGAAGTATCTTCTGGAATTTGTGGTGATAGTAAATAAGGAAAGCAAACATTAGCATGTGGGAACATGCATGAAATACTGTTGAACAAGATTAAAAGATCTTAGCAGGGCTTTTGTCTTAAGAAGCTGATAATTTGACCAAGATCTCAGTATAAGACTTCTGTCATGTGTAAATCCCCAGGGATTGTGCTGGAGCTAAAATAAGGTGGTGACAAAATTTCCTAAGTGCAAAAGATCTACTCTCAAAGGGTGAACCCACCTGGCTCCTTTATAAAATGCAATGATTGCTTTATTCTGCCTGCCATGGCCAACTTCTGGAGAGCAAATCACTGTGGTTTTCCTGCTCTCTTATTTACCTCAGACTGCTGAGGCACCCTGTTAAACAGCGACTGCCCCGTGCAGCCGAGGCCAAGGAAGGTGCTGGGGGTACCCAGGAAAGGACTGGGGGTGAGCAGAGCAGGCTCTGCCAGACACCGTGCTGAGGGTAGGCAAGCAAAGAAGTGCTTAATTAATAAATTAAAACTATATCTACGCTGAATCTAAATAATTTAGACTTTTTGTCTCAGCAGTCCTCCAGGTGAGCTGAAGATGCATAACTCAGATTTCAGCCTGGAGCTTATACCTTACACTTTACATGCAGGTGTCCAGTCCCCATATAGGTGTGTGAACTCAAGCTTTCAGGGTCTGAGGGCATGTATCCTGCCCTGGCATTTGTTACAGCTTTTCCCGTGTGAAATAAGGAAAGCGTGCACAACGCCTCACCACAGAGGAAATTCTGCACTGCAACAATATTATGTCTTACCCTAAAACTAAGTGAAGTTCTGTCTTTTGTGTATCTGAGAACTGTGCAAATGTTTATTGCAAACATGCTCTCCAAAGAAATCATTACTTTTACTGGACAGTTACTCTTATTTCTAGTCACTGCTTTATGTAAAGCCCAAGACATAGAATTATGGGACTTGCATTTACCAAATACAACATCGTTGGTTAATAAATCAGATGAAGTAAGCAAGGAGACCTTTAAAATAGTCTTTCTTCCTTTCCTACAACCCAGCTGGACAGACTTGAAGAAAAGCAGAAGGAGACATATCGACGCATGTTGGAACAGCTCCTGTTGGCAGAAAAGTGCCATCGCCGCACAGTTTATGAGCTAGAAAATGAGAAACATAAACATACAGATTACATGAACAAGAGCGATGACTTTACCAACCTCTTGGAACAGGAGCGGGAGAGGTGAGTACCTGAGACAGTGCAAAGAGTACCCTGTGTCCCAGTGGTTCAGCAGTGGCATTGTCTTGTATTTTCTGTGTTTAAATGACACTAAACTCATGTGTAAACTGCTTGTAAACGTTGGTCTGCTCATGTTTTTAGTAAGTATGTTACTGGAGAAGTCTAGAGCTGGAGGAACAGCATTGAATGTTCCCGTACTGTGCTCTTGAATTAAGAAAGGAATTTGTTTTGAATTACTCATGCCCATTTTAGGTTCACCTCCCGGTAGCTTTTGATCAGTTGTTATTTATGTTGGCTAAGTTGGGGCTAGCTTGCTTAGCTAAGAGCAACATTTTGTGAAGGATGGGGCACTGTTTGTCACAGCAGGAGGACAGGGTAAGGAAAACCACAACACACATTAGGATACTGGCATACAAGCAGTAGAGACTTTGCCATGCCCTTTGCATTTAGAATTGCAAAGTCACAAACTATTTGCATAATTTTTCATATTTTTGAAGACGTGCACCTCAGGCAAGATCGGTATTCTCCTGGAAGAAAGTATTTTCATGTTTTATAAAACATACCCAGCCTGTGATAGACTATCTGCTGTGTTTATCTCACAAGCTTATACATTACAGGTTTTTTTCTTCAAGTGCTTGTCCTCCTTGTGGGAGTAATTTTTTCTCTGAGTCTCTAAGAAAAAGCACCTGTAGGTGAAGAATGAGTACTCGGTAACAGCCTGAGTTTTTCAATATGAAATTTTTATGCTCATACCAGACTGCTTGAAATCAATCCACAACTTTTTCTTTTTTTATATAAAAAAGCTCTGAGAAAAATACTTAAGGCAAGTTCAAAGAAGAAATACTTTTGAGGAAACCACAGTCTGGTGGCAGACATTTGCAAAAGGCCAGGAGCTAAACTGTTTTGTGTATTTCCTGAGCTCAGTTCAGCGCCAGCTTTGAGTAGGTGGCACATGAACTGCAGTGACCATATTTCCTGGTCTAATAGCTGTTGTTCTTCTGTCTTTATTTTCATGAGTTCACTAGCAAACTTTAAAGGACAGAAATGCTTCTGCATCTTAGCAATTTGACTCTTAGCAGAAAATAAAAAATATGTTGTATTTCCAAGTAGGGAGCAATTTCATATCTGATTCTCAGATGCCATTTTTTCTCTGTGCTGAATATCTTTTTAGGCAACTAAAGTGCCACAAAAGTGAAACTAGTATTAAAATACCATGTACATTTATCTTTACATTTTATATTCACTTTAATTTGACAATTGTTGCCTTCTTATTAGTCCAGTTCAACTGATGAAGGCAACTGAATAGCCTAATGACCTGTTTTGAACGGACTTCCTTGAATGAATTGATTAAAAAGCTTTCTGTCTCACATTACTACTGCTGAGATATCAAGTCCCATCTCTGTGGGCATTTTCTCATACTCTTCCTTCTCTTTACAGTTCAGTTTTTCTACATTCTACAGTTTTTGGGAAAACAGCAATAAAAAAAGGAGAAATTGAGTTTGAACTTCTATTGGAAGCAGATTTTAAGACCAAGTAAATCTGCTGTCTTTAGTTGCCAGTCCCTCTGTACTGGTGCCTGCGGAGGAAGAATTGCAGTGCTGAAGCCCCTGATTTATGTTGAGTGACACAAGAAACCTGATGTTCACTATTTAATCCACTTCGTTTGTCTAAGGCACTAATGAGGAAATTCATTTCAAGTTTAGTAGTGACCAAGCAGAGAGAACACGGCGGGTATCTAAATGGAGAAAATGAAGCATGCACGTCCCTTCCTCTTCAGGGTCCTCTTCACAGATCACTTGCAGAGCAGATTAGAAAATTCAGGATGGGCTGGAAACCACTCAGTAGGGTATAGTTTTAAAGTGATCTCAACTCCTTTGTTTGCTGAGTGCACATGAAACTGGAGTGGCACCCGCATCTTTGTAGGTATTAAAAACTGGAAGCAGTATTGTCTGAGGGCTATACTCACAGAGAAAGAGAGGGTGATGAGACGACTTGTTAGGAAAGCCCCACAGTGGCAATCAGAAATAGATTTTTGTCAAAAAGAAAGAGTTTGTAGTGGAAAGATTAAGGTGCAATAGGTTAAAACATTCAAAAAATCCATACTCATTTAATCTTGCCTCTTTGGACAGAGAACTGACCCGCCCAAAGGCATTTATCAGGGTCCTGCATAGGCATTTTTGTTTTATAAGTACCATTATATATATAATTTGTTTTACTGTGGTGCTTTGAGACCTGAGGGTTATTTTATTAAGAGCTGAACAGACTTGTAGTCTCCGTGAAAAAGAAAGGGGACACGGAGGTGAACTTTGCCCGTCAGCCACTCTGCTGCACTCGCAGTTATAATGTTAATGAGACAGGGTGAGCTGGAGGAAGAACAGTCCTGTGGGACAGCCATCTCTCAGCAGTCTGGTACAGTGACAGCATCAATAGATTCTGTCCTGTATTTAAGTAACTTAGGTAACTTCTTTTCTCTCAGTATTTTACCAATCTTCCCAAACTGTTGTTGTCCGTTTCATCTTTTAGAGGCCACGTCTGCTTTTGCCAACCTGTAAAAGTTTGAGCAAGATAAAAAGGGAAATTCTTTAGGAGGAAAAATATGCCTTGGTTCTAATGTATTTCTAACACTCTTTTAATGTATTTACTTTGGAATATTTTTTAAATACATTTTGTACATTATCTCTAATCCATCCACAACAACATGGTATGAAAGCAAACAGTCCCTATGAGGGACTAATTATTAAGTCAGCTTTGCACAGGAAGGAAGCAGAAGGAAATATGATTTGTCAAGAATAATTATACATGAAAAGTATAAAAACAACAAAATTGTACACAGTGATATTCAAAATATCGACAGCTAGAAGAGGTAAATGGAGAAAGCTAGAGGGCCTGAGTGTTGGTATTGGCTCTACAATATCAAGTGCAACTAAGCTGTAGAAAGATTGTGGAAAAGGTTGGCATGTTACAGGAAAAGAGTAGTGAGAACTGTTACCCAGACAGAGACAAAAGAAATCTGGTACTTTTAGTGCTTCTACAGACATGTCAGCTGCAGTGTTTTACAAATCTCTCTCTAGTACACTATAATCATATCTAAAAATGGGAATGTTTTGAAAATTAGGGACAATATTTTCTCCATTTGACCAAATTTCCCCTCTTCTACGCTTGCCCACCTTAGCTGCTGTTCCTGTAACATCAAGTTGTCCTTGGGCATCTCTTATCCCTAGGAGTGCAAAAGCAGCTGTCCTCCTGGAGCCTCCTGATGAGGCTGAGAAATAAGGAGCCTGGAGGTCCCCAGGTCCCCTTAGACACCTTTGGCAGCAGGCGGTGAGATAAGGAGTCTTTGGACTAGCAGGTGAAGAATGAGGGGTCTGACTGGAGCTACACTGTCCACGTGGCTTACAGTGGACACCTGAAGAGCAGAAAACTGCAGCAGCAGCCACAATGCTAAAATTAGTCCTCTCAGCACAGGAACCCTCCTCATCTTCAGCCACGCGATGGGGAGGGAGCTGGTGGCATGAGCCTGGGCACCAGCTGAGCTGGCTGAAGCTAAACAAGCTACTGGCACCTCCCTACCCTGCAACATTCTTGTGTAAAGCAGGCTTAGCATGAGTTTGGTACTGTGTTGTTCTCTGTCCTGACTAGTCCCAGCCCTCTCACCTTCCCCTTTAGGGAACTGGCATGGCAGGGGTGAGGGGAGAGAAATCTTTAGAATCAATTAAAAACTTTATTATTTGATCAGCAGAGCTGCTGCTTCTGGTGGAAAAGGGGAGCTCTAGGTAACCTCAGCACTGCTTTGACCTCTCAATCAACCTAGGAGATGAGGTTTAAAATCCTGACATTTTTAGAAGTGCTAATCTCTGAACAATTTGTCTTGTATTCTTTAATCTCGTTTGTCGACAGCACATTTTGCTGCTATTAAAAGCATTGGAAAGGTCCCCTTGACTATAATAGTTCAGAAACACGCTTGTGTTGAGGACCACTGAGCCTGTCCTGCAGGACAGATAGCAAAACCAGTCAGAAAGCCTTCAAAAATGGGGGGAGGAGGGAGTTTCTTTCGTATGCGTGGGACGTGGTTTGCCAAATAGAGGGTTCGATGTGGCAGAAAGGCTTTGTTGGAGCTCGTTAAAGAAGATCTGTGTGACTGCTTTGTGAGTAATTTGATCATTTCCAGCACAATCCCCGAGACTTTTTTACCCCAACACACGTGTCAGCAAATACATGCCCAGTATCCAACGCAAGTACTGTCTGCCTGAAAGCATCGACACTATGTTTAGTCACGTTTTATTGTAAGACTTCACTGAAGTGATGAGGCTTTTCAATTGGCTCTTGCTTTCCTTGCTGCAGCTTCAAATTATTTTGCAATATATTTCTTTACAACCACAGCGACAGTGTTCCCAGTGCACCGAAGCCTTTCGTGTTTTCCTCAAAGGCAAGGACGAGGATTCGGTCTGTATTTCCTAAGAAGTGCCCTGCTAAATCTGGTTTTAGTTAAACCCTCTTTTTGAAGTACATGGCCATAATTAGATCTGCTTAGAGGAGACAGCAGGACTGTGACCCCAGATCTTTCCTCCACAAAGTTTCCTTTCAGTCTGTGTGTAAAATTGTCTCTTCTCTGCCTCCCCCATTGCAGCACCCCCAGCAAGGAATGCACTGGCAAGTCCCTCGGAGGTCTGTGATAATACATTCCTCTCAGCTTTGGTCATCCTGGCACCGAGATGCTCTTGGCTGCTCTGCCGGTGATGTAATTCTGGGCCCGCATCACCTGCAAAGGAGACCGATCTGTGAGCAATAAAGCACGCAGTCATCTTGAAACAAAAATGGGAGTGTTGATGTTAGCAAGTTTTCTGAATCTTTTTTCCCCTGCTTTTTGCATTTCTGCTTTTATTACCAAACCTCCCCTTCTCCTTTTTCCCACGAGACGGCAGCACCAAGCCTTTCACTGGGAAGCGATTGCCTTTTTTGTTTCCTTTTATTTCATGGGCTCAAGCAAGTGTAAAAGCTGGAGT